GGGTGGTCTTGGCTGTTATAATAACAATTATTATTATTATTATTATTATTATTATCATCAACTATAATATCAATTATAATATGAGCTTAATAGAGGAGGAAACAAGGTCAGGAAGAGGGTGCCGTGCGGAATATTAATATATTCATATTTATAATAAATATATGAATTGATCTTTCTGTCCAAAGTGGTGCTAGGAACCTGTTGCTTTGGGTTTTGGCTATATATATATATAGGCATTTTTAAAGGCGAAAGCGGCATCGGAGGCAGATGACCAAATCCCTCCGAAGATTGCTTGCTTGCCCTCCCAATCTTTGAGCTTAAGACCTTAAAGCCGGGGGGGGGGGGGGGGGGAAAGGGAAGGAAAAAGCAAAAGAACTGGGGACAAGAAGGATGGTCGAGGGAAGAAGGGAAGAAGAAGGAGGGAAAAAGGGAGGGGAAGGAGGAATATATATCCCAAATAAATGCATTGATTGTGAGCTTCCCACCAGATCTCTGTACATGAGATAATAAATAATAATGATAAATTATATTATAATATAATGCATGATATAATAATAATAATAATAATAATAATAATAATAATAATAATAATAATATATTTTATTTGAAACCCACCCTACCTCCCCAGGGGACTTGGGAGATGACGAGGAACGATTCCTAAGAGGAAAAAGGGAAGAAATCGAACCAAAGGACCTTCTAGGGCTTGAAAGTCACCACTGATTATTGGAAGGGACTCCCAAAGGCCACCTTGTGCCATAGCCGGATCCCCAAAAGCCATCTCATTGTATATAGTTTAAAGGGTGACTCCAAAGTCCATTTCATCTCAAATAAAATGGACCTCAAAGGGCATCTAGTCTCATAGGCTTTGAAGGGATCCCAAAGGACATAAACATAGATGGCCTTTGGGGTCCTCTCCAACTCTATGAGACTCTACAAGGCGGGCAAGGAAGCTCTTCCAATTCTGTAAGAGTATAGAATCATAGAATCATAGAATCATAGAATCAAAGAGTTGGAAGAGACCTCATGGGCCATCCAGTCCAACCCCCTGCCAAGAAGCAGGAATATTGCATTCAAATCACCCCTGACAAATGGCCATCCAGCCTCTGCTTAAAAGCTTCCAAAGAAGGAGCCTCCACCACACTCCGGGGCAGAGAGTTCCACTGCTGAACGGCTCTCACAGTCAGGAAGTTCTTCCTAATGTTCAGATGGAATCTCCTCTCTTGTAGTTTGAAGCCATTGTTCCGCGTCCTAGTCTCCAAGGAAGCAGAAAACAAGCTTGCTCCCTCCTCCCTGTGGCTTCCTCTCAGTAGATGGCTTTTGGGAGCCTCAAAGTCTATGCAACTAGATGGCCTTTGCAGTCCTATTCAACATCTATAAGACTAACGATAGATGACTTTTGGGCTTCCTTCAAACAGTGAGATGAGATGACCTCAGTTGATGGGATGAAATAACCTTTGGGATCCCTTCAAAGCCTATGAGTTTGAAGGGACCTTACAGGCAGAGGCGGCCCTAGGTAATTTTCAACGGTAAGCAAACAGTATTTTGGTGCCCCCCCCCCCAAAAAAAACCCAATCATTGATATGGAGCAGGAACGAGAGGGGCTAGGCGAGGCTCAAGGGCCCGGCCCCTTCGGGAAGAGGATCGCCCGGCAATGAGGCAAGGAAGCCGATGTTCCCCCCGGAGTGCTAGGGCTGTTGTGAGCCAAGGGGGCGCTCCTCAAGTGGCAGTCGAGGGGCATTTACAGAGGCGCCTCTGCGCCCCTGGCAAAAAAAATGTACTGCAACCGCTTACTTTTCGTAATGGACGAACCGCCCCTGCTTACAGGCCATCTAGTCTTATGTACGGTTATCAATGGGTGGACTAGATGGCCTTTGGGGGTTCCCTCCAGCTTTATGAGACCCCTCCAGAAGTGGGGCCCATCATAACAATGATAATAATAATAATACTTGATGATTTGGAAGGTACTTCAAAGGTCATCCATTATTCTAGTCTTGGGGAGGCTCATCCTGGCCATCTAGGGGTGATGACCTTTGGGTCGCCTCCAGCTTCTTTGCCCTCCTTATGGGATACCACAGAATTGGAGGGGACCTTAAAGGTCATCTATGATCACTGGAGGCAACACCAAAGACCATCTAGCCTTAGGGAGGGCCACCTACAGGTGGACTATATGGCCTTTGGGAGTCCCCTCTGGCTCTAAAAGATCCCAAGGCCTTCTTGCTTTATGGAAGGTCATCTTGGTCATTGAGGGACAGACTAGATGACCTTTGGGGTCCCTTCTGGTCCTATGAGACACTGGGTGGCCTTTGTGTTCCCCTCTGGTTGTATGGGATTCCAAAGCCATCTAGTCTTAGGGAGGGCCACCTAGGGGTGGGCTAGATGGCCTTTGGAAGTCCCTGAGGCCATCTGCTTCATTTAGGGGCAGGCTAGATTATCTTTGGGGTTCCCTTTAGCTCTATGAGACCCTTCCCAGATGATGGCATTGATCCTGAGGCCATCTAGCCTTAGGGAGGTCCCCTAGGGGTTGGCTAGATGGCCTTTGGTGGTCCCTCTGGCTGTATGAGATCATGAGGCCATCTAGTCTTAGTGAGGTCCTCTTACGGGTAGACGAGATGGCCTTTGGGAGCTCCTCCAGCTCTATGAGACCCTTCCCAGATGATAATCTTTGACTTTATGAGATCCCGAGGCCATCTAACCTTAGGGAGGTCCCCCTAGGGGCAGACTAAATGGCCCTCGGTGGTCCCCTCTGATTCTATGAGATCCTGATGCCATCTTGTCTTATCTTGGTCAGTGAGGGGTGAACTAGATGGCCTTTGGGGGTTCCCGCTGGCTCTATGAGATCCTGAGGCCATCTACTTCATTTAGAGGGCAGACTACATTACCTTTGGGGGTCTTCTCTGGCTCTATGGGATCCCAAAGCCATCTAGTCTTATGGAGGAGCCCCTGGGGGGTGGGGAATAGATGGCTTTTGGGGTCCCCTCTGGCTCTATGAGACTTCCCAGATGACATTTAACTTTATGAGATCCTGAGGCCATCTAGTCTTACAGAAGGCAACCTAGGGGTGGACTAAATGATCTTTGGAATCCCCTGGTGCGCTATGAGACCTTTCCCAGAAGACAACCTTTGACTTTATGAGATCTCGAGGCCATCTAGTCTTAGGGAGGGCCACCTTGGTGATTGAGGGACAGACTAGATGGCTTTTGGGATCCCCTCTGGTTCTGTGAAATGTTGAAGCCATCGAGCCTTAGGGAGAGCCACCTAGGGGTAGACTAGATGGTCTTAGGGAGTCCCCTCTAGCTCTGTGAGATCCTGAGGCCATCTAACCTTATGGAAGGTTATCTTGGTCATTGAGGGACAAACTAGATGACCTTTGGGGGTACCTTCCGGCTCTATGAGACACTGGGTGGCCTTTGGGTTCCCCTCTGGTTGTATGGGATCTCAAAGCAATCTAGTCTTAAGGAGGGCCACCTAAGTGTGGGCTAGATGGCCTTTGGGAGTATCCTATGGTTCAGTGAGATCCTGAGGCCATCTACTTCATTTAGGGGCAGGCTAGATGACCTTTTGGAGCTCTATGAGACCCTTCCCAGATGATATTTGGGGTTTCCTCTAGCTGTATGAGATCCCGAGGCCACCTAGTATTATGGAGGGCCAGTGTGGTCATTGAAGAGTGGACTGGATGAGCTTGAGGGGCGGACTAGATGGACTTTGGGAGACAACTCCTGCTCTATGAGATCCCTTGAGCCTTGCCTAGCCCCTCTCGTTCCTGCTCCATATCAATGATTGGTTTGGGGAGGGGGGGGGAACGCCAAAATGAGGTCCCGCAAGGCTCTATTCTGTCTCCCATGCTTTTTAACATCTACATGAAACCGCTGGGAGAGGTCATCCGGAGTTTTGGAGTTAGGTGCCACCTCTACGCAGATGACACACAACTCTACTACTCTTTTCCACCCAATTCCAAGGAGGCCTCTCGGGTGCTGGACGAGTGCCTGGCCGCTGTGTCTATCTGGATGAGGAGGAACAAGCTGAAGATCAATCCCGACAAGACAGAGGTCCTCCTGGTCGATCGTAAACCTGACCGGGGTATAGGGTGGCAACCTGTGTTGGACGGGGTTACACTCCCCCTGAAACCACAGGTCCGCAGTCTGGGAGTCCTCCTGGATTCATCGCTCACGTTTGAGGCTCAGGCGTCGGCGGTGTCTGGGAGGGCCTTTGCACAACTAAGACTTGTGCGCCAACTGCGACCGTACCTCGCGAAGGCTGATCTGGCCGGAGTGGTCCATGCCTTGGTCACCTCTAGGTTGGATTACTGTAATGTGCTCTACGTGGGGCTGCCCTTGAAAACGGCTCGGAAATTCCAACTTGTCCAACGAGCAGCGGCCAGGATGTTAACTGGTGCTCCTTACAGAGAGAGGTCAACCCTCCTGTTCAAGGAGCTCCACTGGCTGCCGTTTATCTTCCGAGCCCAATTCAAGGTGCAGGTGCTTACCTACAAAGCCCTAAACGGTTTGGGACCATCCTACCTGCGTGACCGCATCTCCGTCTACGAACCCATGCGTTCTCTGCGCTCATCTGGAGAGGCCCTGCTCGTGATCCCGCGGGCGTCGCAAGCACGTTTGGTGGGGACGCGAGACAGGGCCTTTTCCGTGGTGGCCCCCCGTCTCTGGAACACTCTCCCCAAAGATCTTAGACAGGCCCCTACATTGGCAGTCTTCAGAAAGAACTTGAGGACCTGGCTTTTCCGATGCGCCTTCCCAGATTAGGAAATCTCCACTACCAAGTCCCATAAGCACTTTATCAGAATTAAGATTGCCGCACACTGCACTTGCCCTATAATCCTTACATATCACCTGTCACATCAGCACTTTTTAATCCTGTACCCATTACTCTGGCCCGGCCCAGTTTTTATCTTGTTTGATGTATTGTTTATTGCTTGTGTTCTTGTTGTTTAATACTGCTTTAATTGTTTTCAATTTGCTTTAAGTGTATTGTTATGTCGTGTATTGAGGCCTTGGCCTTTGTAAGCCGCATCGAGTCCTTCGGGAGATGCTAGCGGGGTACAAATAAAGTTTAATAATAATAATAATAATAATAATAATAATAATAATAATAATCCCGAGGCCATCTAGCCTTAGGGAGGTCCTCCTAGGGGTGGGCTCGATGGCTTCTGGAAGGTCCTCGCCCTTGATGCTGATGGCCACCTTGCCTGTCACCCAACAGCTTCTGCTGCCATTGCCGGGATGTTCCTGGGGAAGTGTGAGGAGGAGCTGGTATCGCTGCGCAAGGAAGGCGAGGTGGAGGGTGTGACGGAGGGGATCCCTGAGGGAGATGCGGAGGGGCTGGAGCCCCCCAAGAAGAAGCACCGGCGCAACCGCACCACCTTCACTACCTACCAGCTGCACGAGCTGGAGCGCGCCTTCGAGAAGTCCCACTACCCGGACGTCTACAGCCGCGAGGAGCTGGCCATGAAGGTCAACCTGCCTGAGGTCCGCGTCCAGGTGTGTAGGCAAAATCCTCTTCCTCATGATCATAGAATCCTAGAACTGGAAGAGATCCTCCAAGGCCATCTAGTCCACCCCTTTTTCTGTTACTCAGGAGGACACCATATGATCCCTCCTGACAGATGGCCACCCAGTCAAAACCCATTTCTATTATTTCAGAACCCTCTCAACAGATGGCCACCTTGCTTAATAATACTACTGATAATAGATTCATAGAGTTGGCCACCTGGTCCAACTCCATTTCTATTACGCCATCCAATCCCTCTCAACAGACAACTATCTAGTAGGGCTGGGTAACAACAGAAAAATTTGTTTCTAAACTCGTTTCGTTTTTAGGGGGTCCATTGCGTTTCGTTTTTTAAAAGAATTCCGAATTTTTCTTTAAATTTTTTTCGTTATTTACGAAATTTCGTAAATTTCGAATTGATTCGTTAATGGCGGACGCGATTGCGCAATACGCTAAAAAAACCTCCAAATGGGACAGGGGGAACTTCTGAAGCTTCCCTCTCCCTCTGTTGTTGACTGTTGGTGTGATAATTTATTTTTTTATCACTGATAAAACAAACAACAACTATAAAACTTGCACCAGACATACGGAAATAATAACGAAACAATTTCAAAACGATTTCGAAACGATTTCGAACCAATTACGAAACAATTACGAAATAAATTGAAAAATTCGTTTCGATTTTTAGTTGCTCCTGCATGGCTCAATATCGGATCGTAAGCTAATTTAAATACAAATCAATAACGAATTACGAAATTAACGAACGAAACCACCCAGCCCTACTATCTAGTCCAGTGCTCTACTGCCAGATTTACTATCTTTTCGTAGAGATTGTAAAACTTATCTATTCAGGCTGGCATTTGAACCTTGCTGATTGAATTCTTCCTTGATTTAAATGTTATGTATTACATGTGTATTTTGTGAACCGCTCTGAGCCTTATTGATGAATAATAATAATAATAGGTAAAGGTAGTCCCCTGATATTAAGTCCAGTCATGTCTGACTCTGGGGTGTGGTGCTCATCTCCATTTCTAAGCCGAAGAGCCAGCGTTGTCCGTAGACACCTCCAAGGTCATGTGACCGGCATGACTGCCGGCTCCAATAATAATAATAATAAGAAGAAAAAACCACCCAATCCCTCCCAACAGAGGGCCACTCGGTCCAACCCCATTTCTTTTATGCCAGAGGGCACCATCCGATCCCTCCTAGCCATATATTCCAGTGCTCTACCGACAGGAAGAAATCTGTCAAGATCCCTCTTGACAGATGGCCATCCAGTCCAACCCCATTTCTATTGTGCCAGAGGAGACAACCCAACCCCTCCCTGTCCAACCCGCTTCTGTTCTTCCACCTCCAGGTGTGGTTCCAGAACCGTCGGGCCAAATGGCGTCGGCAGGAGAAGATGGAGTCAGGGGCGTCCCGGCTGCATGAGGCACCGCTGCTCTCCTTCGGGCGCTCCCCGCTGGCCCCAGGAGTGGGGCCCCTCCCCCTGGACCCCTGGATGCCGGCCCCCTCGGGGCCCCCGGGCGGTGCCCTCCCCGGCCTGGCGGGCTTCATGGGCCCTGGGCAGGGCCTCCCCTCCCCGGCCTATGGGCCCCTCCCCTTCTTGAACGGGCCACAGCCGCTGCCCCAGAGCATGGGGGGCTTCCCCTGCACCGCCGTGGGGGGCTCGCCCTTCCCACTGGAGGAGGCTGACCAGCGCAGCTCCAGCATTGCCGCCCTGCGCCTCAAGGCAAAGGAGCACATCCAGACCATTGACAAGACCTGGCAGCCCATCTGAGCAGGACTCGGGGGACAAGGGTCGGCAGGCCCTGCCCACCATGGCGGCCCGGGACAGTTTGGGCCTCGGTAAAACCAGACACAAAGAGGAAAGAGCAAAAGGACCCTTCCTTAGTCTGAAATGGGGATCAGTATCGAGGCGTCAATCGCACAGAGCCAAGATGGCAGGCACTGAAACAAACGAGACTTGGCCCTCTTCCCTCCAAGTTTTAAGTCCATTGGTCGCAGTTTGGACAGAATCTGCACCAAGGGTTCGGAGATCACCGGACATCACATTGAAGAGAGCCAATGACTTAGTGTCAGGATCCAGGGCTCTGCCGGTGTGCAGGCCGAGATTAACCAAGGCAACACTCGGCTTTTCTCAAAACTATTTACTTAAAGCAGCACTGACTCATTTGGCTGTTTCAAGGTCCAAGCTCAAAACATAAAGATAGCACACCTCTGCAGATACAAAGCAAAGGCAAGGAGCGTGCTACAAATGCTGGTTCAGGAGCCCACCATAAGCAAGGCTGCACCGAACGTGCTGAGGGTTCGCTAATTAATGTCTGAGGTTCAAGAGGCCAAAGCGTAGTCGTAGTTCTAAAGGTCCAGCCAGAGGGTCCAGAGTTCAAGGGAAATCCAAAATACGTAGTCAAGAGTCAGTCTACGGATTCAAGATACAACAGGATACAAGAGCAACAGGGTTCACCAAGGTGCTCACCAGGGTCCAGGGTTCTTCAAGGTACTAGGTAATTCCAAGAGTTCATGAGAGATCAGGATACCACACACCAGCATCCACGGCCAAGCATTGCAGATACATTTTCCCCCATTCACCAGTCTCTTTATGCAGCTGAATACAACTGCATTCTATCTCTGCAGGCCTCTGTCCTTAAGTTTTTACATACAGATTACTCTGCCCTTTAGAACCAGGAGGGAGACTGACCCCTTCCATCCCTTCTGCAGCATCACCCCACTGCTAGTTATGACCTATTTACCCATCACCACAGGAGCCCCCGGTGGCGCAGTGGGTTAAACCCCTGTGCCGGCAGGACTGAAGACCGACAGGTCGCAGGTTCGAATCCGGGGAGAGGCGGATGAGCTCCCTCTCTCAGCTCCAGCTCCTCATGCGGGGACATGAGAGAAGCCTCCCACAAGGATGATAAAACATCAAATCATCCGGGCGTCCCCTGGGCAACGTCCTTGCAGACGGCCAATTCTCTCACACCAGAAGCGACTTGCAGTTTCTCAAGTCGCTCCTGACACGACAAAAAAAACCAAACCTCATACATTGAAGCAGGGCGGCTCAACCCATTACGCAAAGTAAGCATTTGCAGTATAGTTGATTTTGCCCAGGGGCACTCTTGAGGCGCTCTTGGGGGAAAACAGACCTTGACATATGCGAGTTGCAGTTACTGGGATGTATAGTTCACCTACAATCAAAGAGCATTCTGAACTCCACCAATGATGGAATTGAACCAAATATGGCACACAGAACTCCCACGACGAACAGAAAATATATATCAGTGATTGGTTGGGGGGGGGGGGGGTGGCAAAATACTGTTTGCTTACCGTTGAAAATTACCTAGGGCCGCCTCTATTTTGGCGCCTCCCCCTCAACTGATCACTGATATATTTTTTCTGTTCATTGTGGGAGTTCTGTGTGCCATATTTGGTTCAATTCCATCATTGGTGGAGTTCAGAATGCTCTTTGATTTTAGGTGAACTATTTATTTATTTATTTACTTTACTTTACTTATATACCGCTGTTCTCAGCCCGAAGGCGACTCACAGCGGTTCACAACAAATAAGAACAGCAAAAATTCAATGCTACAGTGTAAAAACAGTTAACAACCTAACATATTACATAATTAATAAACAATTACTACAATAACCATTCACTATTCACTATCGTCTCATCATCAAAAACATGATCCAGATTCGTCATCCATTATTCCGTTCCAATGTTCATTAACCAATCATTGCACTAATTATTCGAACGCCTGCTCAAACAGCCAGGTCTTCACTTTCCTGCGGAATACCATTAGAGATGGTGCTAGTCTAATGTCCGTAGGAAGGGCGTTCCACAGCCAAGGAGCCACCACCGAGAAGGCCCTATCTCTCGTCCCCGCCAGCCGAGCTTGAGAAGCAGGCGGGATCGAGAGCAGGGTCTCCCCGGAAGATCTCAAAGTCCTGGTGGGTTCATAGGCATCCCAGTAACTACAGCTACATCCCAGTAACTACAACTCACATATGTCAAGGTCTATTTTCCCCCAAGAGTGCCTCAAGAGCGCCCCTGGGCAAAATCAACTATACTGCGAATGCTTACTTTGCGTAATGGTTGAGCCGCCCCTGGGGACACAACACTTATCTCTTTTCCCTCCAAACCTTGTCCATTGGTCAAAGTTTGGACAGAATACACACCAAGGGTTCAGGGGTCACCGGACATCAAATCGAAGAAGGGCCCTTCCAGATGGGTCCTTTATCCCAGGATCTGATCCTAGGTTTTCTGCTTTAAAGTGGTTTATATGAGTCCGCACTGCCAGATAAAAGGTAAAGGTAGTCCCCTGACATTAAGTCCAGTCATGTCTGACTCTGGGTTGTTTTACTCATCTCCATTTCTAAGCCGAAGAGCCAGCGTTGTCCGTAGACACCTCCAAGGTCATGTGGCCGGCATGACTGCATGGAGCGCCGTTACCTTCCCGCCGGAGCGGTACCTATTGATCTACTCACATTTGCATGTTTTCGAACTGCTAGGTTGGCAGAAGCTGGGGCTGACAGCGGAAGCTCACGCCGCTCCCCGGGATCGAACCTGCGACCTTTCGATCAACAAGCTCAGCAGCTCAGTGCTTTAACCCACTGCACCACCGGGGGCTCCGCACTGCCAGATAATCTAGGCCAGGGGTCCACAAACGTTTTAAACAGAGGGCCAGGTCACAGTTCCTCAAACTGTTGGAGGGCCGGATTATAATTTGAAAAAAACATGAATGAATTCCTATGCATACCACATATCTTATTTGTAGTGCAAAAATCACTTAAAAACAATACAATAATTAAAATGAAGAACAATTTAACAAATATAAACTTATTAGTATCTCAATGGGAAGTGTGGGCCTGCTTTTGGCTCATGAGATAGTATTGTTGTAATTGTTGTTGTGTGCTTTCAAGTCATTTCAGACTTGAGCGAGGGCCAGGTAAATGACCTTGGAGGGCCGCATCCGGCCCCCGGGCCTTAGTTTGAGGACCCCTGACCTAGGCTAAATGGAAAATTTGGGATCAGATTCTGGGATAAATGGACTGTCTGGAAGGGCCCAAAGAGAGCCAATGGCCCTTTGAACTGCTGTGGCCCCATGGAAACAAAAAGAAAGGGAAAGAGGGCCCCCTTTTCCCCAATTCCTCAACGATGGAGGCCCAAATAGTCCGCACACACAACACCCTTGTTGCAGTTTGATACCGCTTTAGCGTCTCCTTGCTTCCATTTCGCAGCCAGGCCGCATCTCCAAAAAAACACGTCCCTGTTCGGGCGCCAAATGAAGGCAGAAAGGAGGAACCATCTGCACAGCGCAACTTGTTGTGGTTCGATTTCGCTCTGATTGGCCTGCAGAGGGCTGGGAGGCGAAGCGAGTACGCCTGGCTGCCCCGTTGACGCAAAGGGGCTCGGGTAGGACCCCCATGGCTGCCCTAGAAGGGGTCATTAGGAGAATTTGGGTCCCCGTCACTCCCAGTGCCGTCACCGCGTCAAACAAATGCAATCCGCTGCTTTCTCTCAATCCTCTTCTTTCTCTCTCCCTCTGTCCAAAGATATCGGTGCTTCTCCCTTCAGAATATTCCTTATAATGCAATATTTCTTATACTGAAAATTAAGACAGGCCAAGGTGGAGAGAAGGGAAGGGCTCTCTCTGTGCGGGTACGCTTGGGGGATCCAGGGTTTATTTAAAAATAAAAACCATTTTTGCAGAAACGTGTGCAATGTTTCGGCATCCGGAGCAAACATTCCTACAGATTTATGAGAACGGATCGATTTTGGCAAAAAGGTTGGAAACAGGACACTTGGTTGGGTCAGAGGTTTACATTATCGTGATATATACATATTATTATATGTTGTGTTTTCTTATATAGTAAGATATAGCATATATTATCTTCTATATATATAAAAATGCTCTGTGCATAATGAGTACCTTAAAAACAAAAGAACTAATGAACGAAATCACACCAAATTTGGCAACAAAACGTCTCGCAACACTCAAAAAATTATGATTTTGTCATTTGGGAGTTGTAGTTGCTGGGATTTATAATTCACCTACAATCAAGGAGCATTCTGGACTCCATCAATGATGGAATTGAACCAAACTTGGGACACAAAACTCCCATGACCAACAGAAAATACTAGCAGCGTTTGGTGGGCATTGACCTTGAGTTTGGGAGTTGTAGTTCACCTACATCCAGAGAGCACTGTGGACTCAAACAATGATGGATCTGGACCAAACTTGGCACAAATATTCCATATGCCCAAATATGAACACAGATGGAGTTTGGGGGAAATAGACCTTGACATTTGGGAGTTGTAGTTACTGGGATTTATAGTTCACCTACAATCAAAGAGCATTCTGAACTCCATCAACGATGGAATTGAACCAAACTTGGCACACAAAACTCCCATGACCAACAGAAAATACTAGCAGCGTTTGGTGGGCATTGACCTTGAGTTTGGGAGTTGTAGTTCACCTACATCCAGAGATCACTGTGGACTCAAACAATGATGGATCTGGACCAAACTTGGCACAAATATTCCATATGCCCAAATATGAACACAGATGGAGTTTCGCGGAAATAGACCTTGACATTTGGGATTTGTAGTTACTGGGATTTATAGTTCACCTACAATCAAATAGCATTCTGAATCCCACAAACGACAGAATTGGGGCAAATTTCCCACACAGAATCCCCATGACCAACAGAAAATACTTAAGGTCGTCCACTCCAACTCTCTTCACCAGGGCAAGAAAATGTAATTCATCATCATCATCATCATCACTTTATTTCTTAATTAGTTGCTCTCCACCAAGGTGCTCCGAGCGACTTACAATTTAAAACAGTTTATACACAA